TGCAGAAAGTTCTGTTGATAGTGCTGAACAAGAGGCTTAAGCAGATTTAGTTTCCATTTTTTAAGTCACTGCATATCAGGTGTTGCCGTGTACTTCCTATTGCCCTGTTTCATGTCCAGTTGTTCTACTTTTCATGATGCTAAGATTATTGAGTGGGTCCCAATGTGCTTGTGGAAATGTTTAAAGAAAGGAGAAAAGATGATGTTGATGCTTTTTATTTAGGATGGACTAGGGGGCAGGGAATCATCCCCAAAGTTGGGTCAGAGCGATTTTAGCCATGTAAGAATCATCTGGAGCAGGGTGCAGTGGCTCATGCCTATAATCCCAGCATTTGGGGAGGCTGAGGTGGGTGGATTGCTTGAGATCAGGAGTTCGAGACCAGCTTGGCCAATATGGTGAAACTCCATCTCTACTAAAAATACAAAAATTAACTGGGTGTGGTGGCAGAGGCCTGTAATCCGAGCTACTTAGGAGGCTGAAGCATGAGAATCACTTGAACCTGTGAGGCAGAGTTTGCACTGAGGCAAGATTACACCACTGCACTCCAGCCTTGGCAACAGAATGAGACTCTGCCTCAAAAAAAAAAAAAAAAAAGGAAAGGAAAGAAAATCATCTGTGATACTCAGTATGCTGTAGCAGTTGAGAGCTGTTCTGCTTGGGTTTGAATCCTGACTATTTACTACCTATGGGACTGTGGGCAAGTTGCTTAACCTCTCTGAGCCTTTGTTTCTTGAAGTGAAATAGAAAAATGATAGTCCTCAGATTGTAGGACATTGTGATGATTAAATGAGATAATGTGCATAAGGCATGTAACATGGAGTATGTGTTCAGTGAATATTGACCACTATTATTGTTGTTATAGTAAAAATACAGGTTTTAAGGCCTCACTGCTGGAGAATCTAATTTGTTAAAGTCTATGGTGGGACCTGGAAATCTGCATTTTAAAACAGGTTCTCCCTCCAAGTGATCCCAAGGTCCTGGATCCCTTGGCCTAGATCCCCTCCTGAGATCTTTCCCTTTGGGCCCTTGGCTTTATTTCAGCTCCAGAGGAGCACATGCTGGCTGGATACCCCAGCTTCTGTCAGAGGATTGCAAACCAAAAATTAAATTCTAAGCCCCTGAATGGACCCCTCTCTCAGCCAAGGGGATTCCAGAGTAAAACTGAAAACCTTTCAGGCCACGATGGGAAGAGGGGATTGGACATGCCTCATTATACTGTCCGCCCACTGAAATTCAGACACAAGTGACCAGCATTAATATGAAAGCCATGATCTTAAGACTAACGAAACAGACTTTTTGCAGCAATAAGATAACAAAGTCCAACCTGACTCTACTTATAACCTCACATGTCAGATAGCAGGCCCTGAAAGACACTGAAATATTCTACCCTAATAAATATTTTGCCGTATTTTGAAATGGCCCAGCAAAGCTGTCTCTTGTGGGAAGAAACTACACTCTGTGGACAATCTCTGTTCCTTTCCCCGTCTTTTTTGATCCTGAAGAGATCAGCTGAGAGTCTGGCACCTTTTAAGAATGTGAATAGAAAACATTTGCCATCTATTTCCTCCAAGGGTAGCCACCTGTGAGACTTCATCTACATAATAAAATCCTTGGTCTCCGTAACCCTTGTCTTAACCCAGACACTCTTTTCTATCGATTCCAGGTCTTTTGATAATAACTCTTCCAACCAATTGCCAATCAGAAAATCCACCTGTAACCTAGAAGCCCTCCCAACCCCCATCCCAACCTTCAAGTTATTCCGCTTTTCCACACGGAACCAATGTACACCTTACATTTACCGATTGATTCTGCCTGTAACTTCCGTCCCCCTAAAATGTATAGAATCAAGCTGTTACCCAGTTACCTTGGGCACGTGGTCTGAGAACCTTCTGGGACTTTGTCACAGGTCTTGGGCACTCATATTTGGCTCAGAATAAACATCTTTAAATATTTTACAGAGTTCGACTCTGTTTGTTGATGGGATAAACAAGTCCAGTAGGGTGGCCAGATTTATCAAATAGAAACCTATTTTATCTGGGAATCCTGAATCTCAGGGAGATTCTTTGTGCCCTGTCACACCAACCATAGGATGCAAGAAGGTAGAGTGTGAGAAAGTAGTATCAAACATCAAAAGTAGTATTCTAGAGACTTTAGAGATTCATATGATTAATGAGGTCTTATATATAAGTTAGGGGCCACACTTAGATTCTCTTGAGCCCATGAAGGGGCCATCTTTTATAAAGTTAAAGAAAAGTGGCTGTGGGGGCTGTCTTGCCCAATCTGCTTATTTTGCAGGTAATGAAACCAAGGCCTGCCTGGAGAAGGGAAATGCATTGTCCAGGGTCAGTGGCAAGGCTGGAATGGAAAGTAAGCCTGTAGTCTCTGGCACAGCATTTGTTCCTCTTTGTCATCTGTCTCAGTCCATTCAGACTCCGTTCTGTTCCTGCCCCACACCCCAATTAATGTCCTTTTCAAATGTAAAATGCATTCCTTCCATTCCAATAATTCCAAAAGTTTTAATTAATTTCAGCATCAACGCCAAAGTTTAAAGTTCAAAGTTTCATCTAAATATCTAAATCAGATGTGGGTGAGACTCAAGGTATGATTCATTCTGAGGCAAGTTGCTCTTCAGCTGTGAACCTATGACATCAAACATGTTATGTTACAAAATATGATGGCGGGACAGGCAGAGGATACATATTCTCATTCTAAAAGGAGAAATGGGAAAGAACAAAGGAGTAACAGCTTCTGAACCAGTACAAAACCTTGAGAATAATCTTTGGCTTAATGCTCTGCCCTCCAGGCCCACAGGGCAGAGTGGAAGTCCTGCCCCTGCAGCTTTGGGCAACCCTGCCCATATGGCTTTGCTCTCCAAACATTGGCCCCCACCTGAAAGGCAGTTGTCTGCCCAGCGGCCCACCAGCTCTCTAAGGCATCTTTTGAAATCCAGGTGAAGGCAGCCACACACCCACCAGCTTTGCTTGGCACGGAGCATTTCCCACTGTTGCCCTCTAGGAGCCACACCTGCTATGTCTGAGGAGTGTGGCAAGAGTTTGGAGAGGAAAGCCCACAGTGTGGGGCAGCACTGGCCAGCGGAGGCCCCTCCTTTGATACCATTCTGCCCTCTAGGCTCTGGCACTATGGACCTGTGATGGGAGAGGCACCCCTCTTTTCACCCCCTCCCATCTCTGAAATGATTCAGGGTCATTCTTCCATTGTCTTGGACAGCAGGTCCTGGCTTCTGATTAGATGGCTGACTAATCCCCCCATTGTCTTGAGGAATAGCACCTGGCTTACCTGGAGATCCATATTAATCTTTTTTATCAGATGGTTGCTTGGTCACACCTTTGTTCTTTCCCAAACAGGTTTTCTTATTTTTTCCATTATGAGGAGGCTGAGAATTTGTTATACTTGTAAAATTTCTTCCCTCTGAGTAACAATTTTTTGTCTTTAAACCATTTCTTTTCACATTTTACTATAAGTAAAACAGGACTATAAGCAACCGGGACACTCCTTCAACACTTTGCTTGGAAATTTCCTCAGCCAAATATTCCATTTGTATTGCTTACAAAGTTCTACCTCCCACAAAACACTAGGAAACACACACAATTCAGCCACATTCTCTGCTACTTTATAACAAGGATGCCCTTTCCCCCACTGATCAGACGAGGACCATGTTCTTCATTTCCATCTGAGACATTATCAAAATGGCCTTTCCATCTGTATCTCTTGAATATTTTGTTGATGGCCATTTAGGTATTCTCTAAGAAGACTGAGAATCTCCTCTCTTTGTGATCCCTCTCCAGAACCAGCCTTACAGTCCATTTATTCATAACAATGTAGGCTTCTTCTAGCCTGTGCCCCAGAGCTCTTCCAGCCTCTACTTGTTAGCTGATTCCAAAGCAGCTTCCAAATCCACGTCTTTAGGTATCTGTTACAGTAGCACTCCACACTTGGTACCAGTTTCCTCTCACAGTTCATTCAGGCTGCTGTATAACAAAATAACCATACACTGGGTGGCTGACAAAAACATAAATGTATTTCTCACAGTCCAGGAGGCTGGAAGTCTAAGGTCAAGGTGTCAGCAGATTTGGTGTCTGACGAGGGTGCACATCCTTATTCCTCATAGATGGTTGTCTTTTTTTTTTTTTTTTTTTTTTGAGACAGAGTCTCACTCTGTCACCAGGCGCCAAGCTGGAGTGCAGTGGCACAATCTCGACTCACTGTAACCTCTGCCTCCCAGGTTCAAGCAATTCTCCTGCCTCAGCCTCCCGAGTAGCTGGGACTATAGGTGCGCACCACTACGCCCAGCTAATTTTTGTATTTTTACTAGAAACGGGGTTTCACCATGTTGGCCAGGATGGTCTTGATCTCTCTACCTCGTGATCTGCCTGCCTTCGGCCTCCCAAAGTGCTGGGATTACAGGCGTGAGCCAACGCGCCTGGCCAGATGGTTGTCTTTTGACTGTAACTTCACATTGTGGGCAGGGAAAGTGAGCCCTCTGGGGTCTGTTTTATAAAGGCACTACTCTCATTTGTAAGGGCTCTGAGTTCATGACTTAATTACTTCCCAAAGGCCCTATCTCCTAATACTGTCGCCTTGGGGGTTGGGATTTCAGAATATGAATTTGGAGGGACACAAACAGATTCAGGCTATAGAATCTGCTTGTTTCTGTCCCCTGCCACCTCAGGTATATCGGGGAGAGAGGGCAACCTCCAGGGTGACTGGGACCAGGCCTAGGGTGGGAGCAGAGGCCCTTCTGACAAAACCTCTAGGGTGATTCCTGCCCTTGTAATCCAAAAGAAAGAACAAAGCAAATAGAAGCAAAGTCAGTCCCTGGCACTAGTCAGACAAAACCCCAGACATAAGCAGGGGTGATTCTGCCATACAAGGTCCCTGCGGGGGGGGTCATGATCAGGGCTCGCACCCAACAGCCCAGCCTCCTGACATGCAGAGCTGACCAGGCCTGGGCCTCCCCTTCCCCCACTGGTGTTTTCCAGAGTGTCTGGAGGAGAGCTCTTCGATTTCCTGGCCCAGAAGGAGTCACTGAGTGAGGAGGAGGCCACCAGCTTCATTAAGCAGATCCTGGATGGGGTGAACTACCTTCATACAAAGAAAATTGCTCACTTTGATCTCAAGGTCAGTAAGGGGAGAAAGGGAAGAGAATCAAGTTTAGGAAGAAGAGGCTTAGTCCTTCCTGGTGTCTTTCTCAGGATGGGTCCAGTGCCCAACAGCCCTCCTCCCTCATCTTACAGTGAAAATCCCTGAGCTCCTGGGAAAGAGAGGATATGGAGATGTCCAACTTCTCAGTTTCATTTCATGTACCAGGTTTTCTGCACACAGGAGCTGACTGCAAGGAGCTCCTTAAATAAGACTTAAGGCACCTTATTTCTTTCAGGGAGCAAGGGGAACAAATACCTTCTAAATAAGTAGACCAGTGACAGGAAACTTGAAATGAAACATATTTCACAAGACTGAACTTTTCAGTAACAAAGAGCTGAGTCCTGAGTCAGCAGAACTAGAAGTGTTTGGAGGATTGCAGAAGTGGGCTGGCTCGCCAGACCCATTCACAGGGCAGTCTCCATCATCCCTTGACCAGAGCTTATAAATCCTGGAGCCCAGGGACCACTGGCTGCCCTTCCTGACTCACCACCCCTCACCCTGCTCCAAACTGTGGCCATAAAACTGCTTCTAGGGGCCACTGATCGTTTGTGGTAACTGGTATTCAGGGTTGAGAAAGTTCACTGTGACCACATAGGACTTCATAAAGCAGAATATGGTCAGAGTAGAAGGACCAATTCCCTTAGTAACTGAGCTCAGTTGCATAGACTGATGAACCTATACAGATACTTAACGTGTAAAGGTCCTCTAACTTGTGATCAGTTCTATGACCTGTTTCCTGGGCAATCCCTTCATTTGTCTATGCAGAAATCCCTGTGGTCTTTCAAGCATGGTGCTGGGTGCCTGGGTATTGCTGCAGATACAAAATTCACTGAGGCTGTCTGAGATTACTTCTCTTTTCCAGGAACCTTAGTGTAGGAGATAGAAAAACCAACAACTCTAAGTACTATGCTAGCAGGAAACCCATGGTGGGTGGGAAGCCTAAAGGAGGGGACATCGAAGTCCAACCAGGGTATCCAAGAGGGCCCCCTGGAAAAAAGTGCTATTGAGTTGAGTTCTGAAGAATTGGCAAGGGTTAGAAGGAAAGAGCCTTTTAAGAACGATAGGTCAGTAGAATACATGGTCATAAAACAGCGCAGTGCATTCAGGGAAGTACAAGCATGGGAAGTGTGTGCTGAGTGGCTGAGAAAGAAGCCAGGAAGAGTGCAGGAGGCAGACACAAGGGTCTGGGAGCTAAGCCAAGGAGCTTGCACTTTGTCCTGAGAGATAAGGGTTCAGGTGAGCAGAGAAGTGAGGTGAGCACGTACATGTTTCAGAATGATCCCTCTGGCTGGGAAGATGGATAGGCTGGACACAGCCTGGAAGCTGGGGCCCAACTGGGAGGCAAATGCAATAATCTAGGTAAAATGTAAGGCGGGGACAGAGTCAGGATCTTTTGCAGAGGTCGGTCTGAGGATTGATTAGGTGCCTAATTAGAGGTAGAGATGAAGGAAGGGGCAGAGTGCAGGATGACACCCAAGTTCTGGCTTGTGCCCCTGGCCCAGAGAGGGGATGGCATGTCCATTGTCTCACAATGGCTATGCCAGGGCATGGGCTCAGTTCCCATGTGAGTCCCTACCCCAGCTCTTACTCTACTCTGCCTGATAGGATGACCCTCTTGGTCACCCTATAGCTTGGTCAGTCCCTTTAGCATGGTCCCCTTTCTTTATGCTGATTGTCACTTTTTTTTTTTTTGAGACAGTCTCGCTCTGTCACCTAGCTGGAGTGCAGTGGCGTGATCACGGCTCCCTGCAGCCTTGACTTCCTGGGCTCAATCTGTCTGCCTGCCTCAGCCTCCTGAATAACTGGGACTATAGGCATGTGCCACCATACCTGGCTGATTTTTGTCCTTTTTGTAGAGGCCGAGTCTTGCCATCTTGCCCAGGCTGGTCTTGAACTCCTTGGCTCAAGTGGTCCACCTGCCTCAGCCTCTCAACAGTGTTGGGATTACAGACACTGCATCTGGCCATGATTGTCATCGTTTTTTTTTTTTTTTTTTTTTTGAGATGTGGTCTTATTCTGTCACCCAGGCTGGAGTGCAGTGGTGCGATCTCAGCTCACTGCAGACTTGACCTCCTGGCTCAGGTGATCCTCCCACCTCAGCCTCCCAAGTAGCTAGGACTACAGGAACATGCCACCATGACTAGCTAATCTTTGTATTTTTTGTAGAAATGGGTTTCGTCATGTTGCCCGGGCTGGTCTGGAACTCCTAGGCTCTAGCAATCTGCCCACTCCAGCCTCCCAAAGTGTTGGGACTATAGGCATGAGCCACTGTACCTGGCCATCACAGTATTTTTTAATACCTCCAACAGACATCTTGCAGAGTTTTGCTGAGGTGTCACAGGGTAAAAATTGGGGTCACCAAGGATGGTGAGGCCAGGGCAGGCCTTTGGACCTCAGCGGAGTAATAGCAGGAAATGGTCTGCGTTGATTGTACCTGTATCACCTTCCTGGTGCTTCTATGGACAATTAGCTCGTTTTCTTGTGTCTTTGCTAGCTCCAAGAGACCAACTTCAAAATGGGCTCCTTTGTCTTTCCTTGAATGGGTCTGGTGGTAGGAGTGGCTGGAGCCCAGCAGGCACCAGTGGCTGCAGCAGGTTTGTGATGTTTGGCTTGCCCTTTTGGCAGCTTGCTGTGGTAGGGAGAGCACTGGCTTGGAGTTAGCCAGGCTGGGGTTTGATTCTCACTCTACCATGTACCATGATACACCAGAACTTCAGCTTTTCAGCTTCAGTGCAAATAATAATACCTATCTGGCAGAGCTGTTGTCAGGGTTAGAAAGAAGCATTAAGTGCCGAATATGGAATAGGTGCTCTGTAATAGTAGCTGTTATTATTTTTTCCCATCTCGGAATAGAGGAAAAGAAAACAGAACTCTTGTTACAGTGTTTTGGGCCTCATAGACTAGGAAAACAAACCTTGTGAGTACAGTTCTGTTAATAAATTACCAGGCAGGGAGCTGAGTTGGTTGCTAGGTAGACCTGCTCGAGAGGGCTGGTAAGGCTCCAGGGCCAGCCTGGACGTTTTCCACGACCTGGAAACAGTCTGGGTTTCCCCTGCATGTATGTGAGGTGAGGATGCTGCTAGTCTCCACTATGGCCAGGTATCCTTAGAGTTGTGAGGACCTGAGCTTTCTGATTCTTCCCACCCGGGCAACCTCAGGAAGTGATAAGTAGCTGGAACTCTGAAGGATTACCTTATGATTGGGTAGATGTTTCCTGGAGCCAGAATGTGGGTATGCATGCCTCTTGGCTGGAATATTCTGTCAGCTGGGGGGGATCATGCAATTAAGATCCAGCTGGTAGCTTAGAGGAGGCTTCTTGGTTCCATGCTGTTTCCCGCCATATAAAATCCACATTTTTCTTCCTGATTTTCATTCTCCCCAGTGGACTTCCACTTTCCTCTCTGGCTTATATTCGGTTACTCCTTGCTAAGCTCAGGGTCGTTACTGCCCCAGGAACACAGCCAGCATGTTGTCTTCACACCCTTACCCATACCCTGTTCTCCATGCACATCTTCCAGCTCGAAGGACCAGGTAATGAAGAGGGTTAGTTCTCTTGCCTGCCTTTGGAAAGTGAACAACCTCTCTTCAGTCTGGTAGGAGGAACTGATGTTCCTCCTATGTTCAGCCATTGTGCAATGGACAGTCAGACTCTGTCCCTGCTCGTCACATGCTCCTAGCCTTGTTGCAGGGAGCAAGTGGACAATTTTTTTTTTTTGAGACAGTGTCTCACTCTGTCACCCAGGTTGGAGTGCAGTGGCACAATCTCAGCTCAATGCAGCCTCTGCCTCGTGGATTCAAGTGATTCTCCTGCCTCAGCCTCCTGAGTAGCTGGGATTGCAGGCCCCCGCCGCCATGCTCAGCCAATTTTTTTTATTTTTTAGGAGAGACATGGTTTTACCATGTTGGCCAGGCTGGTCTTGAACTGCTGACATCAGGTGATTCCCCCCACCTCGGTCTCCCAAAGTGCTGGGATTACAGGTGTGAGCCACCATGCCCAGCTAATTTTTTTATTTTTTAGGAGAGACATGGTTTTACCATGCTGGCCAGGCTGGTCTTGAACTGCTAACATCAGGTGATTCCCTCAACCTCGGTCTCCCAAAGTGCTGGGATTACAGGAATGAGCCACCATGCCCAGCCCAAATGGACAAATTAATATGAGATAAGCACTCAGCTTATCTGGTAAAACAGGAGACAGAGCAACATGACTGAATAGAATCCTTCACTGATCATCCTCCCGGCAAGAACACCAAATTGAACAACTATCGACACACATCTTTATAAGAACCAAAAATCAGGTGAGCGGTCACAGTAACTGGTTTTAACTTCATGTCACAGAGTGAGGCACTGAAGAGGGTAGGAAAGATAGTTGTGTATCACCTACACCACCTCTTCTCCATCCCCTGGCAGCAGCCATACTGCATGGAGAAAGAACCTGTGCATCTAGGGAAGGGAGAGTGCAGCGACTGTGGGACTTTGCGTTGAAACTCAGTGCTGCCCTGTCATAGCAGAAAGCAATACTAGGCAGAACCCAGCTGGAACCCATGGAGGTAACATTTAGACAAGCCCTAGACAGAGGAGAATCACTCATCCCAGTGGTCAGAATCTGAGTTCCAGCAAACCTCACCACTGCAGACTAAAGTGCTCTGGGTTTCTAATAAACTTGAAAGGAAGTCAAGGCCGAAAGGACTTCAGTTCCTGGGCATGTCCTGGTGCTGTGCTGTGCTTGGAGCCAGTGGACTTGGAGGGTACACCTAGTGAGACATCAGCTGGGGTGGTCAAGGAAGTGCTTGTACCACCCCTCCTCCACCCCAGGCAGCACAGCATGCAACTCTGGGAGAGAATCCTTCCCTCCACTTGAGGAGAAAAGAGGGAAGAGGGAAGAGGACTTTGTCTCGCGATTTGGATACCAGTTCAGCCATAGTAAGATAGGGCACAAGGCAGAGTCTTGAGGCCCCCATTCCAGGCCCTAGATCTCA